AAGGAAGGAAGGAAGGAAGGAAGGAAGGAAGGAAGGAAGGAAGGAAGGAAGGAAGGAGAGAGAAAGGAGGGAGGGAAGGAAGGAGAAAGAAAAGAAAAGAAAAAAGGAAAGAAAAGTCTAGGGCCTATAGGAGAAAGATTAGTCTGTCTGCATTCACGAATTTGAAGTTGAGTTGAAACACTGCCATCACTGGTAGACCTGGGCAAAGTGTTTCGTACTATACAAAGGGCTGGCTTTCTGAACATAAATTGAGAGCTCTAACAATGCTACAAGAACAGCTGCCCAAAAGCAGGAAACAGGAAGGGGCTGGGGCAGCTGACTCAGCAGAAAGGTAAGTCCCACCACCTCCTTTACAACCGGAACAATGTGGACCACACGGCACAGGCACTCCTCTGGGTCATCAGAGATCCAGCTGCCTGGAACACACTGTGCTGGGGAAGAATATGCAGGGCCCAGCAGGGCCCACGTGACTACGAACCATGCACTGAAACCTCCATGACAGCCCAACCATAGAAACAGGGTGATACCTGTCTGATTTTACCCAGTCACCACCTCTTGAAATTTATGTGTGAAATGTGTGGCTAGGACTAATTGTTAAAGTATCTAATTTAAAGGATTAGAAGCAACCTAAATACCCTTCAGTTGGGAATCCAGTTGAATAAATTATTACAAGCCATATGATAAATAAGCACTATATAGCCACTTTAAAAAAAATGAGCCAGCTTTATATCCACTGATAAGAAAAGTTCTCAAAAAATGCATTGTTCTTGGGGAAAAAAAACAAAACACGGAAAAGTATTAATTCTATCATTTGGTTAAAAACAACATAAATACATAGACATACAAATATAAAATAGTAGTAAAAATAAAATGACAAGATTATAGAAATATTCAAGGAGTCTCCCTTTTCTGCATTTTTAATTCCATCCTTTCAATAACGCATAGTTGCTCAGTTTCCATTAGAGTTTAGAAATATTAAATGGAAAATTCCAGAAAGAAGAAATTCTTATCTATAAATGGTTTTATGTTGCACACTTCTCTGAGTGACATGACAAGATCTTGCATGTGTGTCCCTATTACACTCATGACAAGAATCTTCCCTTTGCCTGGTGTATCCACACTGTATATGCTACCCACCCAGGAGGCCAAGAGCAGACATCTCAGTTACCTGTTGGACTGCCAAGGCATCACTGTACTTGTGTTCACACATCCTTTTCTCACTTGATCGTGACCCAGAGTACAAGAGCAGTGATAACTGACAGCTCAGACATGCCGAAGAGAAACTTTATGCAAAGGGCTTTCTTTGGACAGAAAGGCAAAAGTTGTCAACTTGATAAAGACTGAGAAAACTCTATCGGTTCCATGTGTGACACACCTGGTACTAAGGCAGCATGCGGCTGAAGCCCAGGGGTGGAGGCTTTTCCTGGAACTGCTGTTGAGAACACAGGCCTCAACCGAGCGGGATGTCATGTGCCAGCAGCCATGGGACACCGAGTTCTTATCCTGGCCACACGATCTTTTCTTTTCTTTTTTTTTCTTTCTTTCTTCCTTCCTTCCTACCTTCCTTTCTTTCTTTCTTTATTATTTATTTATTTATCTATTTATTTATTTTTCTATTATCAGCTTGATACAGTATAGATTCTGATCCTAACAGTGAAATTTTTCATTGAGGCTTGCCGAGTAATTGAGTAAAACCAAAACTTATTCTAAGCCACAGTCATCCTAGGGTCCCCCCTGCTATGTAGCCTCCATGGTTCTATGGGTTGTGGTCTGATTGTTCTTTGCTTTATATCTAGAATCCACTTATGAGTGAGTACATACCATGTTTGTCCTTCTGAGTCTGGGTTTCCTCACTCAGGATGATTTTTTTCTAGTTCCATCCATTTGCCTGCAAATTTCATGTGTCATGTTTTTCTCTGCTGAGTAGTACTCCATTGTGTATATGTACCACATTTTCTTAATCTATTCTTCAGTTGACGGGCATCTGGGTTGTTTCCAGGTGCTGGCTATGACGAAGAGTGCTGCTCTGAACGTAGTTGAGCATGTATCTTTGTGGTATGACTGAGTACGATCTTTTCTAAAGTGACAATGACACAAAAGCCAAACTCCCATGATTTGTAAAAAAAGACAGATGTGGGAACCCAGAACAGGCGTTTCATCTTGTTGGCAGTTTGTGGAGCTGAATGGTGGCTCTGCTGCTGTCACTGTTGCTGCTGTCACTGTTGCTGCTGTCACTGTTGCTGCTGTTACTGTTCTTGTTGCTGTCACTGTTGCTGTTGTTACTGTTGCTGCTGTTACTGTTCTTGTTGCTGCTGTTACTGTTCTTGCTGCTGTTACTGTTACTGCTCTTGCTGCTGTTACTATTCTTGTTGCTGCTGTTACTGTTGTTGTTGCTGTTGTCACAGTTGCTGCTGTTACTGTTGTTGTTGCTGTTGTCACAGTTGCTGCTGTTACTGTTCTTGCTGCTGCAGTCACTGTTGCTGCTGTTACTGTTGCTGTTACTGTTCTTGTTGCTGTTGTTACTGTTGCTGCTGTTACTGTTCTTGTTGCTGCTGTTACTGTTGCTGTTGTTACTGTTGCTGCTGTTACTGTTGTTGCTGCTGCTGTCACTATTGCTGCTGTTACTGTTCTTGTTGCCGCTGTTACTGTTGCTGTTGTTACTTTTGCTGCTGTTACTGTTCTTGTTGCTGCCACTGTTGCTGTTGTTACTGTTGCTGCTGTTACTGTTCTTGTTGTTGCTGTTACTGTTCTTGCTGCTGCTGTCACTGTTGCTGCTGTTACTGTTGCTGCTGTTACTGTTCTTGTTGCTGTTACTATTCTTGTTGTTGCTGTTACTGTTGTTGCTGTTGTCACTGTTGCTGCTGTTATTGTTCTTGCTGCTGTTACTATTCTTGTTGCTGCTGTTACTGTTGTTGTTGCTGTTGTCACTGTTGCTGCTGTTACTGTTACTGCTGTCACTGTTGCTGCTGTTACTATTCTTGCTGCTGTTACTATTCTTGTTGCTGCTGTTACTGTTATTGCTGCTGTTACTATTCTTGTTGCTGCTGTTACTGTTGTTGTTGCTGTTGTCACAGTTGCTGCTGTTACTGTTACTGCTGTCACTGTTGCTGCTGTCACTGTTGCTGCTGTTACTGCTCTTGCTGCTGTTACTGTTCTTGCTGCTGTCACTGTTGCTGCTGCTACTGTTGCTGCTGTTACTGTTCTTGTTGCTGCTGTTACTGTTGCTGCTGTTACTGTTCTTGTTGCTGTCACTATTGCTGTTGTTACTGTTGCTACTGTTACTGTTCTTGCTGCTGTTACTGTTCTTGCTGCTGTCACTGTTGCTGTTACTGTTCTTGCTGCTGCTACTGTTCTTGTTGCCGCTGTTACTGTTCTTGCTGCAGTCACTGTTGCTGCTGTTACTGTTCTTGTTGCTGCTGTTACTGTTGCTGCTGTTACTGTGTTTGCTCCAGTCACTGTTGCTGCTGTTACTGTTCTTGTTGCTGTCACTGTTGCTGCTGCTACTGTTCTTGTTGCTGCTGTTACTGTTCTTGTTGCTGTCACTGTTGCTGTTGTTACTGTTCTTGTTGCTGTCACTGTTGCTGTTGTTACTGTTCTTGCTGCTGCTGTCACTGTTGCTGCTGTTACTGTTCTTGCTGCCACTGTTACTGTTGCTGCTGTTACTGTTGCTGCTGTTACTGTTCTTGCTGTTGTTGTTACTGTTGCTACTGTTACTGTTCTTGTTGCTGCTGTTACTGTTCTTGCTGCTGTCACTGTTGCTGTTACTGTTCTTGCTGCTGCTGTTACTGTTGCTGTTGTTACTGTTCTTGCTGCTGCAGTCACTGTTGCTACTGTTACTGTTCTTGTTGCTGCAGTCACTGTTGCTGTTGTTACTGTTGCTGCTGTTACTGTTCTTGCTGCTGCTACTGTTCTTGTTGCCGCTGTTACTGTTCTTGCTGCAGTCACTGTTGCTGCTGTTACTGCTCTTGTTGCTGCTGTTACTGTTCTTGCTGCTGTCACTGTTGCTGCTGCTACTGTTGCTGCTGTTACTGTTCTTGCCACTGCTGTCACTGTTGCTGCTGTTACTGTTTTTGCTGCTGCAGTCACTGTTGCTGCTGTTACTGTTCTTGTTGCTGCTGTTACTGTTGTTGCTGTTGTCACTGTTGCTTCTGTTACTGTTCTTGCTGCTGCAGTCACTGTTGCTGCTGTTACTGTTCTTGCTGTTGTTGTTACTGTTGCTGCTGTTACTGTTCTTGCTGCTGCAGTCACTGTTACTACTGTCTCTGTTGCTGCTGTCACTGTTGCTGCTGTTACTGTTCTGGCTGCTGTAGTCACTGTTGCTGTTGTTATTGTTGCTACTGTTACTGGTCTTGTTGCTGCTGTTACTGTTCTTGCTGCTGTCACTGTTGCTGTTACTGTTCTTGCTGCTGCTGTTACTGTTGCTGCTGTTACTGTTTTTGCTGCTGCAGTCACTGTTGCTGCTGTTACTGTTCTTGTTGCTGCTGTTACTGTTGCTGCTGTTACTGTTCTTGCTGTTGTTGTTACTGTTGCTGCTGTTAATGTTCTTGTTGCTATTGTTACTGTTCTTGCTGCTGCTGTCACTGTTACTCCTGTCTCTGTTGTTGCTGTTGTTACTGTTGTTGCTGTTACTGTTCTGGCTGCTGTAGTCACTGTTGCTGCTGTTACTGTTGCTGCTGTTACTGTTCTTGCTGTTGCTGTCACTGTTGCTGCTGTTACTGTTCTTGCTGCTGTTGTTGTTGCTGTTACTGTTATTGATGCTGCTGTTTTGGTTGTTGTTGCTGCTATTACTGTTGTTGCAGTTACTGTTGTGATTATTGCTGCTGTTCCTGTTGCAGTTTCTGTTGACAATAATATGTTTGCTGCTATTATTTTCCCCTTTGTTGTTCCGGCTGCTCTCCATGCTGCTGCTATTGTTGCTGCTGCTGCTGTCACTCATGTGGATGCTGCCTCTACTGTTGCTGAAGCTGCTGTGACGTGTTGTGCAGTGGCTATTGTCTATAAGGTTGTTCTCGCTGTCCCCGCTGTTATTGCTGCTGGGCCTATGGTCTTTAGTAGTGCTGCTGTTGCCGTCCCTGCCTTTGCTGTGGTCATTCCGGCTGTCACTGTGACTGCCATTGTTGTCGATGCTGCTCCTCGTCCTGTTCACGCCACCGTCCATTCTGTTGTTGTTATTGCTACTGCTGTTACTGTTGTCAGGGCTGGGATTGTTGCCGTTGCTTCGGCTGTTGGCGCTGCCACTGCTGTTACTGTTGGCGGTGCTGGTGTTGTCACAGTTATTATCGTTGCCGTTATCGCTGCTGCTGCTGCTGCTGCTGCTGCTGCAGCTGTCGCTTCTGTGATCTTGGCCGCTCCTCCTGCTGTCGTTTCCACTATTGCCGCTGCTGCTGTCGTCTTCGGTGGTGGCACTGCTCTCAGTGTAGTTGTTGATGTCGCTGCTGTGGTGGTTACTGCTGTTATTGCTGCTACTGTTGCTGTCTATGCTGGGGCTGACACTGCTGTTCTCAGTGCTGTTATTAATACCACTGTTGACATTGGTACTTCTCTCAATGGTGTTGTTATTACTACTGTCGATGCTGGTACTGCTGTTGACACTGTTGCTGCTGCTGCTGCTGCCGCTGTTCATGCTCCCACCACCTTTGCTACTGCTGTCCCTGGTGCTCTGTGGTTGGGCCTGGAGACTCTGGGAACTCGGTATATTTGCTTGTCCCCCCACCTGGAGCCTGGGAGGCCTGCGGCGGCGCTGCTGGGTGATCTGATGAGATTCTGTTATCCGCATCTCAGATGGGACTGGTCTAGAAACTGAGACCATGTGGGGCAACAGTGGGGGAAGCTGGGGAACTGGGGCAGCCCACACCGGATTCAGTATGAACAGGACCATGTGCAAAGGGCAGGGCTGGGAGCAGCAGAGGAAGGAGAGTAGCCCTGCTCCGAGGACCACCAGCAGCATCCACAGATCCATAGAGAAGACAGTAAGAAAACTCACCAACTGAGCAATGTTCTAGTCACGGTCTTCGCTCATCGAATAGTGCAAACAAACCTGGGGAAAATAATTTCTTAAATTCTGTGTGAGAACCAATCAAGGTCTCTGGATTTTTGCAATCATTATCTTTAGCAGGTGTAGAGTTATATTTAGCCTTCAACTAGATTCTCTGTTATGGAGGAAGGTGAAACACCAGGAGGGGGATGGAGGAACACCCTCTCCCTTGAGTTAGTTACCTGTTTTCTTTGTGAAAACCATCACTCAGAAGACAGCACAAGTGTGATCTTGGACAGATCCAACACTTGACTCTTGTTTCGTTTATTTATTGCCCACTTGATGAGTCTGTTCAGCTCCTCATAACTTCTTTCCCACTGGTCTAATTTGATTTCCTATTGCAGGCCAAGAAAAAAGAAAGAGAAGAGAATTTACCTCCAAGGCAAGAAAGCAGGTCTTCAGCTAAGCTAAAGAGAAAGAGTGTGGTCAGTGCTGGACCAGAGGCAGAGCTCTTCCCACACCACAAACCCACACCACCCAACTACACTTACCCTTGGACTTCACCAGCGGGGAGCCGTAGCCCTCACAGTTCATTGCGCTCACGTTTCAGACTCTCCTACCAGCCAGGGTCCTCCACCTCACCCTCTCTCAGCAGTCCCAGGAAAATGGCCATTGCTTTACTGAATTTGTTTTTTCACCTTTACATTTCTTTATCTGGTTTCTTTCTCCATATGACATCAAACCAAAATACCCAAGGGAGCTGTGGGTCAGGACAAGCAAATATTAAAAAAAAAAGATCTGAAAAACAATAAACATGAGAGAAGAAATTTTATTTTTTAAGAAATAAAAAAACTCAAGGCAATACCACAGGATGTACATCAGGAACTTGGAACAGGGTCTGTCAGGATCATAAATGTGATGAAATTTCAAAATATGTTCTTTACTATGCAGATCACACTTCGAAAAACGCCCAAACAAAAGAATGAGACGCTAAGTTGAGCAATCACCGAGCCTGCCCGTGTTTACAATAGATGACCACAGATACATTCTTTCTGTAAACGAGCTGATAGAGAATGCAGTAAGGAGCATTCCTGGCATTATTGAATCAGCCGTGACAATATTTTTCAGTTTGGTAAAACTTTCCTCAAGATTAATAGGCCTTAAAAATGGCATTAGTAGAGCTGGGCGTGGTGACACACACCTTTAACCCTAACACTTGGGAGGCAGAGGCAGGAGGATCTCTGTGAGTTCGAGGCCAGCCTGGTTTACAGAGCGAGATCCAGGACAGCCAGGGCTACACAGAAAAACCAAAAACAAAAGCAAAAATCAAAAACAAAAACCCAGCATTAGTATCTTACAAAAGTCATATAGTAAATACATTTTTTAAAGACAAATACCAGGCCTGCTGAGATGGCTCAGTCAGTAGAGATGCCTGGCTTCCAAGCCTGGAGACCTGGGTTCAATCCCCAGGCTAGGGAAGCGGGGAGGGCTGAGCTCTTGACACCTCGGTGCTGGGGATGGGGAGACAGGCAGGTCCTTGGGGCTCACTAGCCAAGCAGGCCAGCTCACTTGATACATTTCAATTCAGTAAGAGATATAAATCATTTTTAAAACATTTAATTATGAAAATGATAACACAGAAATGACCAGTTATGCCAGGTGGTGGTGGCACACGCCTTTACTCCCAGCACTCGGGAGGCTGAGACAGACGAATCTCTGTGAGTTCAAGGCCAGTCTGGTCTACAGAGTGAGTTCAAGGACAGTTACAAAAGTGTGCATCTTCAGTGTTAATGATGGAAATGCAAATTAAAACTGAAATGACATTTTGACATCAAATTAGTAAAATAAAGTTAGTAATCCTGAGTATAGACAATCTACTTCATACACTTCTTGCAAAAGTAGTCAATAGTACATTCTTTTAGGTACACAGCTTGGCCATGTCCATCAGTATCACAAATGTGTGTGTCTGATCTCATAGTCTCACCTCTGTTACTATTTGATAAATCAAACTGCATGGAGAAGCATTTCAGAAGTATTTGTTGCATTGCTTGTGGGTGATGGCAAAGGAAAAAGAAATAATTCAAGTTTATAAATTTGAAGGATGCTTGCATAAGCCATGGCATCACCATTCATCAGCTAAACAGGGCAGGAGAAAGACCAATAAAGATCTTTCTGTTGAGAAAGTTCCAGCATGAAGGACAGGTATTGGACAAGTATCGTGGGAGTTGGGAATGTTTGCCTACCCATGGTGGCTCATGGAGAAGACAAGGCAAGATTCCATATAGTTTTGTAATGACTTCATCTCGTGTGTTCATGTGTGCCCTGGTTTCGTTTCTACCGCTGTGACAAAACTCCTTGACAAAGAGCAACAAGAAAGGCTCTCCTTGAGTTCAGGGTTGCAGGTCACAGTCCATCTTTAGATGGACATCAAAGTGGAGCTAACATAACAGCCAGTCACGTCCACCGTGACAGAAAGACCCTGGATGACGCTGGGGTTTTATGGGTCCTCATTTAACTACACATTTCTATTGATTTCTGTCTATTGAGTGTTTGAAAACACATTTACATCATTTAAATGGTCACAGAAGTGGAACTCATTTTATACACGAGTACTGGATCCACTTACAGAAACACACCCGGTTCACATTACCAAACACAATGAGAGAAAGTGAATCCAGACATCTCTCCGGGGCAGCCCTGGGGGTGGAAAGAGAACTCTCACGTGGCTGCCTGACCGGGAGGTGCCACCTCACCCACTGATTTTACAAAACATTTATCCCAGGAGCAATGAAGCTCGGTGGTGTGGGCTTCTCTAAAACCCAATGCCAATATTCTAAGCAAAACACAACTGACCTGCCACAAGCCTTGACGGTGAGGATAATGTATCCAAACCTGTTACCTTTGCACAACGGGTAGGTCTGAGCAAAGACCCCCATTCTGCAGGGACTCCGAAACAACTCCGGTCAGCCTGAGAGACCTCACTGACTTCTGACAGCTTCTCTCCACTGAGGTCAGTTCACTAAGGGCTCTTGTGCTCACCCGGACTGTCAAATGCCTCTTCCACGTTCCCTCAAGGCAAAAAGATGGGACAGTAAGGTCATGCCCATGACACTGTCACTCCAGCTGGGCATCCTGTAGCCCCGAGTGGTAGCCATAGCCCTTCATTTCATCCCTTCCCTGACTTCTCTGGGACATGCCAAATCGTGCACCATGGGGCTTTCCCTTGGGCACACCCTTCTTCAAGTACCAGACCTCAAAAGACAGACATGTCTGCCCCTGGCTGCAGCTGCCCTCTCCTGGCCACCTCTCTTCTTGCCCCGTTCCCACCTGCCTCTGGTAATCCATGGCTTTTCTCTGGGATACCAACCAAGCTCCCTCTGGCCCCTCATCAAGAAATTCATAACCTATGACCCAGAATCTGAGGACTCTGCTGTGAGTGACGTGTGGGCCTGGAGGACTGCTGTGAGTGACATAAGGACCTGGAGGATTCTGCTGTGAGTGACACACAAGATGAGGCCACTGACCTTCTAAACCAACACAGCTGTGCCATGGAAACTAGTTGTCACTATCAAGAGTTCAAGAGCCTTGGGTCATCTTAGGCTCCTGTGTCCAGAGACTCCTAACAAGCAATGGGCATTCAACACCAGGTACCTGCTGTGGATGGCCGGCACTCAGAACTCTCCTCCCAGGATCCAACTTCACCAGGTATCCTGGGGGTTTCATTTTGCTCTGTTTTGCTTTTGAAGCCCAGGCTGGCCCTGAACTGACTATGTAGCTGAGGATGGCTACAAACCCCTGATCCTCCTGCCTCTACCTCTCTAGAGCTGGGATTACAAACATATGCCACCACACTTGGTGTATGAACCCCAAGGCACAGTACATGGTAGGCAAGTAGCCTATCAACTGAGCCACAGCCCAGCCCCTCCTAAAGGTTTCCTACCAACGCCATTCCCCCTTTAGAACTTTACTGCCGATGAGGACAATGTTTCCTTGCCTGTGTATATTCGTAAGAAGGTGCTGAGAAAATCTGCAATCGTATTTTGCTTGTCTGTTTTCTAAGTTCTCTCCCATCCTCAGAGAGGTTGCAAGCACCCAAAACTAGATGTTCAATGACTATATGTCAGCCTCAAGGACACTGAGAGGAGTGGAGCAGAGTCCCCAGCTCCCAGGTCTCACAATCGCAGGGGACAGTGCCACCACCCCAGCACAGCATGATGCTGGACCAGAACTATGCTGTCTGTGCAATGCTGTTGTAACATTAAGCCATAACCGCAGCCCAGGGGGCGGGTTTGGTTGACCTTTCCTATAGGGTAATCCTTGCTATTAAATACTAATCCTGCATGACGCTGAACACTGAGACAAGATGGACAACTTAGGTATGGGTTTTGTCTCCACTGGAGACAGAGACAGAAAATAAATGAGCAAGCTATGATAACACAGAGTGATCAAAGCTCCCTGGGTAGAGGAAGAAAGGGCCCAGGGTTCACAAAGTCATGAAGAGCCTGGACAAGGCTGCCCGGGGGAGCAGACACTTAACTAAGATGCTGAAATTCTCAAGAATTGCCGCTTGGACCCTGGCCAGAGTGGGTGGGTGGGGAGGACTGGATAGACAGGAAAGAGATCTGAGGAAGAATGATGGCTGGTTAGACGTAGGGAAGGGGCTAAAGTGGACTCCAAGGCAAGCATCTCTAGTGAGAACGATTTCATAAGCATCTGCCAGGAGACAAGCAGAACTGAACCCAAACATTTGCAGCCCAGAAACATGCAGTGAGAGGTGAGCATCCCACGCCCTCTCTATCTCTTCGGTCTCCTGTCTCCAAGCACAAGATAGTAACAGCTGCCCACGAAGTGGCAGAGAGCATGCCGGCGGGTCTGAGCGCGCTGAAAGAACTCTTGAAGAGCAAGAAAAGCAGAAGACATTTTGGAAGCAATTTCACCCCAATGGTTAAAAAGAAATTGGCTTAACATTGAAGAGAGGGGTCGTTTTTCACTTTCACCTTTGTAACTTGGGTGTTTTCTCAATTTTCTGTAATGTACGTGTTTTTAAAAACTGTTTGTTAGAGGCTGGGGTGCCCACTGGTGGTATAATTGGAGGTAGGATTCTGAGAAGAGGAGGAGGAGGAAGGACGTCAGGGACCACAATGGCTGCAGCAGCAGCAACCACATTGTCACACCATAAACCTTTGAGGCACATTCTCAAACCACATCCAAGCCACAGCACCAGTGTTTCCTTGTCTTTTCGGAAACATTAGCCGGTGCACATACCTTACCCACCGCTGTGTGTGACTTACGCTTTCTCCTGACTTTGACAGTCCCTAAGAGTGCGTCTGTTTTACTATTCTGACGTATCAGCATGTGTACGCTGCCTTGCTCTTCAGCCTCGCACAGATCTGTGGTTTTAGCCCTTTTCAAGGTGGTATTATCACTTTGTGGTTTTTCTGTTTTCACTCATTGATCTCACCAGGGTTCTGTCTGGTCCGTCACTTTCTCAGGATTCAACTTGTGCCTTTTCTTTGCCCTTTATTCTTTTCTATGCTTTATCTCCATTTTTCTTCTGTAGTTCATTCCCATGCCTGTCCCATGCTGCCCAACATGGAGTTAGTTCCTCCTGTTTCATTAATCCACACCCAGAAAAAAATATGACACCCTTCAAAGGAAAGGAAAAGATGGGGTCTTTGGCTCAACGTCTCTGCCACTTACAAAATGCCCTTCCATTACAACCGACCTGGGTTTTCAGACCTCTGAAGCACTATCTTTGAGAGATGCGCTTTATAGCTTTCATGTCATTGTGTTTGTATGCAATTCTCCCCACC